TTTTACAGTCTTTTATTAAAAATGGAGAAATTATATGAGGTCCCATTGTAAAATTATCCTTCGTTCTCTTAATTGCATTTATTATGTAATCTTCGGTAAACTTAAAAACACAAAGAGTAATAGAGCCAACAGAGAGCAATGTGGGCGTACAACTATTAAAACTGCGATTGGGTAAAAATGAATCAGAAAATAGCTCATTTATTTTTACACTACCGGATTAATTCTTAAAAAAGCCAATTGTACTCTCTTTCGTGACAATTCGTTTTATCCAAGAAAGAATGTTGAAAGCGTGGCTTTGTTGTTTTTATTAAAAAAAATTCGATAGTAATCCAGCTATTATCAGAAATATTCTAGATTACAGATTCTTATTTTGGAACAAACGATTATTTAATCAACACCATCAGACATTACAAGTTATTGAAATCTCGAGAAGCTGTTCTAAAAATAACAACAAAGATTGGAAATCTAAAGTGTCACGTCACTTTTGATATCCAATGTCACGTCACTTTCGATATACCTACTTACTTTCACTTAAAGTTGTATTTGTGTGTATGTATGGATCTGACATAATATTACAAATATTCTGCCTTAGAAATTTGTTTTAATTGCCATACCTGTGTAGGTACATGAAGAGCGTATACTTTGTTCTCATTAAATGATAATAATCAGTCAGTTTTGGAATTCAGGACGACATTTCTGTTGTAACAATTATTAAGTATTTCATAATACTGAATTTTTAACTCTACAATTATTATCATCGTCATCTGCTTTCTTAAGTAGGTAGATACCTACCTAAGTCTTAATGCGCATAAGACACAAACAGTTTCTTTCTACCGAGACACTTGTCGCATTACTTTCTGGAATTGTCCGACATGCATTTGATATATTGAGAATGTAGATGTAACTTTTTAGTATCAACAAGGTGATATGCTGAAAAGTTTCCAGGTCGAAAAGCTCCTCACGCCAGCTGCAATTGATGGTTTCGAGAAAAAGGCACCAGTTTCTGGTAGTCGTTGATGAAACAATGATGATGGAAACAATGTATGATGAAGGACCGTGCTTTGAGAATACATTTCAGCATATCTTCCAAACGCTCTAAGGAATTACCATTAGCAAGACCGTAAACGAAATGCATATAGGTCATTTTTACATTAGAGTACACCTCCATCGTGATGAATTTGCATGAAAAAAGTTCTCAAAACGATCACAGTGTATCAGCAAATAACAATAACTGTAGCCTTACTAACAGCAATTAAGTTGCCTTTACAGAATAATGTCAACTTGATGGCGGCCTACTAGATAAATTACAGTTCGATAAATTTTCTATTCTACGTCAAGTAATTGTTTACAAATAAAAGTTTTGCTCAGAAATTGTTATTTTTCCTGATTTTTCCTTATTTCTTTGACTTGCATTCGATTCAAGAACAATGGGGAAAAGCCCTGTTAAATGCATCGTATACCGGGTGTCCCAGTGTCAGCGTATACAGATTAACCAGGGGGTAGACCATACCAAAATTCTTATAAAATATTTTTCTGCAATGCAATCTCACTGAGTTACAGGGTGTTGATTAAAAAAAATAATAACAACTTTTCGTAATAACTCAAAAACCCTATCAGGGATTTAAGTAATTTTTGCGTGAAATGTACAGGGTGATTGATTTTCGATAGTTTTATAGGGTACAGCCAAAACGGTGATGGATACAAAAAATCTGATATCGATGTCCCGTCCTCTTTTTTTGAGTTTACTTCGCTGGTCCCAAATGACCTTGGCTAACTTGATTAGTTTTAGATATACAGGTTTTTTTTTTGAAAAATGGCCGATTTACATTAACCTCTCTATCTCCGTTGTCATTCAATTTAGAAGAAAAAAGTGTGCACATTATTTGTTGTATATTTTATTAGGAAGCCAGTGGCGTACTCAGATTTTTTACAAATCGCACAGTTTTTCCGATATTACATAAACATAGGTTTTTTAAAATAGAAACCCTGTATTTGGCCATCCCGTTAAATAGCATTTTTTTACATTTTCAGCCATATATAATAATAGATACTTTTTATTTGCCTAAATGAAGAAAAATATAAAAAATGTATAGATATTTTTTCAGTTGCCCATGAGGTTTATTTAGTATTGGTCTCTTCGTTTTCTATTATTATTTTTATATTAAGCACCTAACTTAGACTAAAAAATTAAAAGAAAAAATAAATTAGATTATCCATTTATCTTCACTTAATTGGTTTAATTATAGGTACACTTAAACATAAACTAAACAAAAATAACAACTATAAAATGAGAGAAACAACAATAAAACAAAAATGACATAACAAAGTCACAGCAAGTGCTCAAATTGTCGGCCATTTTCGTTAATACATAACTGACAACGTTTGGCAATGGAGCGGGTCGCATTGTAAATGTGGATATTTGACACCCGCTGAATATAGTTTTCAAAATGTTCCCTTAGCTCCTCGACATTATTAGCTCTATACTTATAAATTTTGTCTTTAAGATCCCCCCAAAAATAAATCTATAGGGGTTAGGTCTGGTGACCTAGGCGGCCACCTGTTTGGTCCGTACGTACCGATCCAATTGTCTCCAAAATTATGATTTAATAATTCTCTAACTATGTGGGAATTATATGGGGGCGCAACATCATGCTGAAAGAACATATTATATCGTTGAGCTAGTGGCATATTGTCTAGCAGTTCAATATTTTCTTGTAAAATTCTCACATATCTCTGAGCGTTAAGGTTTTCATCGTACATTTCGTAAGCTAACACTCTATTGTGGAAGAGAGCTCCCCATACATGAAAACCGAATCGCCCTTGTTGAATTCTGGCCACAGTTTGGTGAGGATTAACATCTGACCAATAACGCGCATTATGCCGGTTGAATATAAATTCGCTACTTATAAAAGCCTCGTCGGTCCAAATAACATTTTGAAAAAAATTGGGGTATACATGAATTTGCTGCAAAAACCACTGGTAGAAAAGGACGCGTCTCTCTTCATCTACTGGATGCAAAAGGTGCACTTTTCTTATAGTATATGGTCGAAACTTGTGTTTTTTTAAAATTCTCAATGCTTTGAATTTACCAATTCCTATCTTCTTTGAATTTCTCTGCCGGATACATTGGGATTTGCGACAACAAAAGCTAAAGTATTGATTTCATCATTTTCTCTATTCTGTATATTATAAAATTTAGCTCTCGGTTTTTGAAAAGAACCAAACTCACACAAGTTATCATAGAGTCGGCTAAAAATTCTCTTTTCTGGCTGATGACGCTCTGGGCATCTCTCTAAATATAAGTTTAAAGCTGTGTCACTATTTTTTTCACTTTCAATGTAACACTCCAACATTTGAACTTTGTGAAGATTTTCGTACACCATTTTTATACTTTTCAAAATTAAAACCAAGTAATAGACGTTTAACAAGCTTTCAATCAGTCAAAAACAACAAATTACTGTCAATATTAAACAACAAAAGACGAATAAATAAATAACATGGCCAACTGAAAATATATATATATATATATCTACATTTTTGAATTTTTCTTCATTTAGGCAAATAAAAAGTATCTATTATTATATATGGCTGAAAAGGTAAAAAAATGCTACTCAACGGGATGGCCAAATACAGGGTGTTCTATTTAAAAAACATATGTTTATGTAATATCGGAGAAACTGTGCGATTTGTAAAAAATCTGAGTGCGCCAATGACTTCCTAATAAAAAATAGAACAAATAATGTGCACACTTTTTTCTTCTAAATTGAATGACAACGGAGATATAGCGGTTAATGTAAATGGGCCATTTTTCAAAAAAACCCTGTATATCTAAAACTAATCAAGTTAGCCAAGATCTTTTGGTACCAGCGAAGTAAACTCAAAAAAGAGGACGGGACGTCGATATCAGATTTTTTGTATCTATCACCGTTTTGGCTGTACCCTATAAAACTATCGAAAATCAACCACCCTGTACATCTATTGAAGGTCATTAAAACTACATGGTGCTATTTCGATCTGACTCCATTGGTGGCCTAGGCCAACTTGTCCTCAAGGTTATATCTTCATAACTTTTGCATATCCTAGTTTTATGTAAGTTTTCCTGAATCTGCAATCGATTCTGAACAAAAAATGTGCTCTTATTTCATAGCTCAAAAATGAACCGTTTTCGAGTAAATTGGGTCTATAGTATCGCCTGCATTAATTCGTAGAAAAATACATGTAAAGACTTTATTCCTTGTTATCTAGTAGGTAGGTACTTATCATTATAAAAATAAGTAGTTTACAGGCGTACATATCAAAATTATTAGGGTACTCGAAGTTACGAAAAATTAAGTTTACAAAACAACAAGATATTAAGTATTATCAAATTTTCCAACAACGAATATGCCGATATGATATTTGTCTACGGTTCCTGTCATAGAAATTCATTGGTGGCTTCACGAGAGTATCTATGCAGGTTTCTAAACAGAAGGCAGCTTCACAGCACGTATTCCAACGAGTTTTCCAAAGAGTCTGTGAGACTTAAAGTTGGAAATACTAGAATAAGAGGTAATTTTCTTCCAAAAATTACTTAAATCCTTGTAAGGGTTTTTGAGTTATTGCGGAAAGTCGTTATTATTTTATTCTAAACAATACCCTGTAACTCAGTGAGAGTGCATCGCAGAAAAATATTTTATAAGGATTTTAACATTATTTTGGTCTGGTCTAACCCCTGATAAATTTTTGTACGCTGACACTGGGACATCCTGTATTCCATGTATGGTTAAATTTAAAAAAATGAATTTAAGTTAAACATTATTCTTAGAAAGGTATGTTCTATTTTGTTTACCACATATTCAACAAATTCCTAATACATAATCGTCATTTTTAATTTTATCGATGTAAATTAAGAATTTCTTTATAATGAGCTAATTAGAAAAATAAGGCATTACTTTGATATAACGACCTTCCAAAACTGGTATAAATATAACTAAGGTTCCAATAACTACTAGTCGTTAAACATGAATTTTAAATTACATACTTTTGTAGTGCTGGAAATTATTTTAGCAGTACAAGTAAGTAAATGCTGTAATCTACTATAATTGTCATCATATACGTGGACTATTTCCTAAATAAATTTCAATTTCCATTCTAGGGCGTAGTGTTGTATAGAGCTGATCATCATGACCATATAAGGGAACCCCATCGCAGGTTATTTAGAAGACGTGCAGGCCATCACGAATCACCTCCACCAGGTACTGATTTTGATAAGATTACCTCAGTCAAACCTTCCCCTCCATCTTCTATCTCCATTAAAATCTCCTTCACCATAAACTGTCAACTCATCAACTAAAGTTATTTCACCTACACTTTCAGAAGAACCTTCTACACACTCTGCAAGTGACCAAACGTCATTCCGACTCCCAAGGAGTGTGTCAACTTCATCACCATTTAGTGACGATTCGGTTTCACGAAGACCAAGTGGAGAACCATCTTCTTCTTCAGCGACAGCAGAATCGACTCCGTCAACATTATCAAGTGACGATCAATCTTCTGATTTACCATTAAGTGAAAAATCATCATCATTATCTGAATCGTCTTCATCGCCAAATGGTGAGTCACCCTCCACATTGCAACCAAGCGATGAACCATCCACTCTATCTCTAGTAACTGACAACGAAGCATCTTCTTCATCGTCATCTCCTTTCCCGGTAGAGTCAAGTGTAGAACCATCTCTTAGAACATCAGCATCAAATGACGAGCCATTTACTTCAGCGTCACTTAGTGGAAAATCTCTTACACAGTCATCAGCAGAATCAAGTGTTGAATCATCTTCTCCATCATCATCAACTGACGAATCATTTTCCCTACCACCATCTGATGAGCCATCTGCATCACCACTATATGGTGAACCACAAAATCATGAACTATCTTCCACACAGCCAGCTGATGAACCGTTTTTAGAACGGTCGTCTTCTTCGTCGTCAGTAGAATCGACTCCTCCAGCATTATCAAGTGACAATCAATCTTCTGATTTACCATCGAGTGATAAATCATCTTCTTCATCATCACCAAATGGCGAGTCACCTTCCACATTACAACCAACCGATGAACCATTCTCTCTATCTCTAGTAACTGACGATGGAGTATCTTCTTCAACGCCATCTCCTTTCCCGGTAGATTCAAGTTTAGGACCATCTCTTACATCATCAGTATCAACTGACGAGTCACTCTATTCACCGTCACCTACTGGAAAATCTCTTTCATCAGCAGATTCAAGCGTAGAATCATCTTCTTCATCATCATCATCAACTGAGGAATCATTTTCTCTACCACCATCCGATAAACCAGCTGCATCACCGTCTCTGAGTAACGATACGTCTGAAGGATCTTTTGAAGTTCATTGGTTGTACTTACAAAAGGATGATCGTGTGTTTATTTTAGATGGTTTCTGATAGTTGATATTTTTAAGATGTGTCTTCATAAAAACGTTCTTTTGTAAAGGGAGTTTCACGACGAACTGTATAAATAAATGCGGATATCTTTTAAACCGAATTAATTTACTTCTAGTATGTAGGATGTATCGCTGAAGGCCAACAGGCTCATCAAGTACATCATTGTATCAATTGCAGTTCGTCATGAAATGCCCTGTGATATAAATAAGGAAAAATCTTATAGTTTGCGTTAGTGTGGGTTTCTTTTTCAATTTTAAACAATATTTCAGTCGTTTATACGTTAACGCTAGAATATTCTTTAATAAAGTGCCTACGAATTGTATTCAAAATGTAATATTATAGAGCTTTGCTATTTATGTTGTTTATACGATTATTCATTACTTGGTAGTTAAAACAATATATTATATTTCACGAAACAATAATAATAATCGTCTAGATTTATGGTACAGAATTGTTTTCATTACAATTAGAAATTGGGTTTTATTGTTAAGTAGGTAACCCTGATTTTCAAACCGTAGTTCATCTGTTTTACAAGTTGTTTGGTAGGTATTCCAATCATTATTATTTCAGTTAATAATAAATTGTGAGCTTTCACCACCTACCACTGATGTTAAGTTTAAATCGTCAGTGATATGTTTAGCAGGTAAATATGTCAGAAGAATGAAAAGAATAGCATAGATCAATGAAATCGCCAGCGTATATAGAAAACAATACAGGACCAACTATACCACTTTGAGGTACACCTCTTTCAAAATGGTGAGGATTTTTAACATTGATACACTACTTTTGGTGAACATTTTACATTTTTTTAAAATTCAAGGGATAAATGAAATCCCCAGCGTATATATAGAAAACAAAATAGGGCCAAGTATACTACCTTCAAAGTTTTATAAGAAGAAACTTGATTATTTAACGAAATTCTCTGACGTCTACATGAAAATAGTTTTCAAAAAATGAGGTAGCAACTGGGTTAAATCCAAAGTATTCGAGTTTCTGTTAAAGCATTTTATGGTATAATGTATCAAAAGTCTTATTAAAATCGAGCAAAGTGTTTAAAGTTATAGCCATTTGCAGTGAAAATTTAGTTGTCAGTTATGTGAAAAAGCGCAGTGAGTTATGGACAATATTGCGTCGTTGAAAGATAAAAAGGTACTTCTCAATTTTTGGGGAATTTTTCAATGCAAAAGTACAAACTAAGAAAAGTAGATATAAAAATAGAATTAAGTGAATAATGAATTCAATACAAATACAAAATCAGTTGACTGCACAATTTTTTTGGCAATGTAACCTAACCTCCTTTTAGTATTACTAGTATTAGATTATACCGACTTAAATTATAAGGTTGCATCTCGGGTCGCATCAAAACATTTCCAAAGTTTTTAATAAATAACACAGGATCGGCCTTCATTTTCGTTGAATAAATTAACTTGAACTTACAAAAAAAAAAAACGCGAAGATAGAACTTTTTCGTATAAGACTTTTCTATTACAAGTATCATCAGGAAGCTGTAGTTTAATTTTTATAGATTATATACGTCACACCCTGTATATAGGTAATTCCATTTAAAACAAGTAGTTTAAGAAATTATCATAACTGAAGTAAGAAAAATCGCGATAGGTAACAATTTTAAGTACCTATAATTTTATCTTTATTTATCTTCATAGTACATTTAACTAAATGATGACCCTCTGTACTGAGAGCGCCTACTTTATCATAATATTGAAATTTGAAGAAGCGATTATTTCAATTAATGTACTAGAACTATTAGTGACCCTTAAAGGTTGAGTACATAATTGAAACAAACGACATAATATAAAATAGTGTTTATTACATATCATGTGATAACATAAACACCATATATTCTAACTCATAGTTACAAATTATGTACTTACTATATCAATACTACAAGATCGCTATAAAGTTCCCAGACATAAATTTACCATCTAGTTTAGCAGACATCGTCTTGTCGAATTGAATAAGTGTAACTTTTATAAGGTTTTCTTGTTCGATAGTTATAGGTTGGAATAATTCATCTCTTATTGTCTTCTTGCAATAACATCGGTTTCTCCTGACAAAAAATTGGCTCTAACTGTATCAACTCTTTCTTGATTTGTATACATGCTTTTTCAATAATTTGTGGTTGAATAGTTTATACCTTATTTTTTTTTATATTCGCTAAATATTGTTCATATTTTGTTGTATTAAGTACGGGAAACATATCTGATTGCAGTTTATAATCGCAAATTGAGATAAGAAAGCCGAAAAATATCCCAATTTGGACATTTACTATCTCGCAAGGAATTTTGAGCGTTTTCGTCCACCATGCAGCAGGTGTGACAATTGAATATAGTGACCAGAATCGAATGGCTATGAATATTTTGCTTGTCTGGTTTCTATGAATCTCTATGACGTCAAATTGCTTGGAACATTGAAGCAAAACATTGTCGTCACATCAGAACCACGTAAATAATAATAATAATATATTCAAATCTACCATCATTAATGGCATATTTCGCATTACTTTCCCGCAAATTTGGAGATCACTCATACATATGGGGAGGGGATATGTAGAAAGTATGCAGAATGCAATGCAACGCGCAGTTTATTTCGGATTGTTTCGCGTGTCGGTCGCAATGGTTATTTTTGGCAAATTTGAATATGCAGATATTATGGTTTTATATGAAGAATGTTTACGAAATGCGAATGCCGCTGCAGCAGAATATCGGAGATGTTTCCCTCATAGACAACATTTTCCGAGTCCGCGCATAGTTTTTTCAAATCTGGTTACTGCTTGGAAAAGTAACATTAGTATGTTAATAAAAAACTGTTTTTTTTAGCAAGGCATGCTCATATCTCCTCCTTACCAGTCCTTACTTGGTACCAATGGCAATTTAATATGCTAATTGCATACTCTTAAAAAATAATTTATATCATTCAATACATATTTTAACATTTTAAATTATTATTGACGGAAGTGAACAAGAAAAAACATGAGTTTCTGAAGTAATTTGTCGTTTAAAAATTATATTGTTAACCCCCAACCGCGTCAAAAGTCGTAACTTCAAGCCACCGATCTAGAGTGCATTGCACTGTCTGAATAATCTAGCCACCTAGGGCAACAACCGACGTTTTTATCATAAAATAACGGTATCCTGTAGGCTTATGGTCACTGTGACGTTACTTTGCGTCGATATATGCGTAGACGAATTAGCTCTAAGTAGATCAAGGTCAAAACCCAGACGAGTCGGAGATGCCAGCCTAATGTTTGGAAATCGGCATTAATAAGGATGTGTAAAAGGAGAATTCCAAGAAGATATTGATTTTTTAATTCATGTTAATAAACGCAGCCCACAAAGAAGTTAGGCGAAGATTGGATATGTGTCTTGAAATGAGAGGAAGTCATATAGATAATAGATTGTAATATGTACGTAGTAAGAAAGCGTTTTCCTCATTTTTTAAGTATAGTTATTGTTATCATCACCTTTTGTTTTAACTGTATTAAATACTTATCGAGTTTAATCCTTTTATTTATTCTTAATGACATTTATGCACGGTAAGCAACGAACATTCAATTATTTTCCAACGACTACTTGATCCTTCCGCGTTAATGTGATATTTCTTTTGAGACTCTTTAGGACGATATTCCTTATAACTTTTAAACGGGAAGTAATGCAGAAAAACTCCTCTGATAAAAGTTTATTAGAAATAATAGAACTTTTTAACAGGAAAAAAATTTGGGTATGTTTCTGGAAAAAATATAATTGATGACGTTATTAGTCGTTCCTGCCAAATCCCAAAGATTACTTACGATTGAAAATGGAGCTTACCTCATCCCATTTCACACCACGTGACTCAAATTTTATTTAAATTTTTTGTACCCTCACAGTAAAATTTGATGCGACAATTATAAACGTTGAAGGATATGGAAAATACCTTTGAAAGAATTCGCTAATGTCTTTGTCAGTTCGACAGGTTTTTATTGAAAAATAATATTAATAATGACAATAATAAATTTAATAAAAGATCATTTATAAAACACAAGGTGCCAGATGATTGGTCCATACTCTAATTTACTCCTGATGAGTGCTAACCTAACTACACAATAATTCTATTTATTGCATTCAATTTTATTTCAAAATCGCCTATATTTCTTACAAAAAATCATAAAGTTTTAGAAGCCGAACCCACTCTACTATATTAGGTATTAATATGCCTCGTAACAGCAAGTTTAGAATCAAACAATACTCCCAAATCTATATGAGCCGAACAAAGTTCAATAGCAATGATATTAATTTGATAATTATCAGTTAAAACTGTCTCAATTTTTCGTGCATGAGACTACTTCACATTTAGATATATTTAATTTTCACGAACTTGTAAAACATCACTCGTTTATCTTATGCAAATCATCTTGAAGAGTTAAACAATGATTTTCTGATGAAACACTACTAAATATTTCCAAATCGTCAGCAAATAATATTTTTCGAGAGGTTATATCTGATGTTATCTCGCTAATGGATATTAAAACTGAAATCGATGCTTGTGGTACTGCCGATTTGGCGATATACATTTTTGACTTATAACCCCCCATAATTCACAAACTATAATAAGAACTAAACAAGTTGGACTAAGGAAGGTATATGTTTAAGGTTTGATATTAGGGTTACCCACTGTGTTACATTATGAGCTAAATATTTTTGTTCATAATCAACTAATAAATACAATATAGTGTTTTTTCCATTTCTCGAAAAACTTTCATTATTCCTAAAATTACATCATTACGAATTTTGAAAAATGGGATCTTAGCATCAAATTAAACTATAAGTAGGCATAACTACTGCCACCGTTTCATATAGTGGTGGAACTTTTGGGCTTCAAACCCGATCATAATTTTGCTATTACTTATTATAGGGCGCCGCTTGCAGCATATTGCACATCTTTAAAACGTCATAACTTTGTTTGCTCCTCAGAATATCTGCCTCTTTGATATATTTTTCGTTCAAAACTTTTTAATTTCGAAAGTTCTTTTTGTGGTGAAGTCATTCAAGTTTCTTCATCCGTCCCAGCAAACTCTGTTTTATCTCTTCTGCCAGCTTATTTAAATTGTTACGCAGCAAATACAACAAACAGTTTTTATTTTTTAGCAAACATCATTCTTCAAAAACTTTCAAGTTAATGTGAAACAACTTACAACGATCTCAAAAATTCTGCCACGATTTTAGCTGATTCTGGTAGACATTACCTCAATCAAAAGGCATGAAGATTGGAAGTCTACTTCAGTGGTGGGGTACATTGACGAATATCCTCGAAAGTCGGTTGAAGTATTAGATCCAGTTACTCTGTCAGCAACAATGTTTCTTAATTTATTAAAAAATAACTCTTGTAACAAAATTGTGGCTTAAGAACAATTTATGGCTTTAGATTATCTTGCCTCCACATACGGAACACTTCTCTACCCTCAGTAATAGTGGGAATCCCAATTTGCAATTTTGAAACAAAGAAAATGGTAGTTGATTAATTTGAGAATTAGCTAAATTGATATACATATATAGTTTTTCAAAAATAAGTCATATTGAAGCAATTTATCAAATTTAACTAATAAGTAACAACTGTAATAGAACAAATTATTATATTTTATCAACGCAAGAACGTAGTTCGAGCATTTAATATTCTTAAAGTGAATAAATGGCAATTGAGACATGAAGGCAATACAACGTTTTATCCATAATCACATCACAATCATATTTGTCGAGTCAGAATTATCGGAATTTAATAAAAAAATATTCGCACGACTTGA